ATACTACGGCCCAGGAAATGAGCATGGCCTTGGTTAGTTCTCTGGACTGTACACATCCAAAGATGATCGTGGTGAATAAATCTTTGAAGCAGCAAAGAATTTGGCACAGCCCGGGGTTTCCCTAAGCTGCTCCAAAGATTGTCCTCAGGAAGGAAGAGAGTCCATGAGAGTTAAAGGATGTGACCATGACAATAAGGGTGGGCAAGGTGGTAGCTGGTAAATCCCCACATCACTTTTTCTGCACCTTCTCACTGGCCAGTGGGCCTGGGGATGGTCATGAGGGTTAGCCAACACCAGCCTTTTCGACTCGTATGCCAGTGTCTCTGATAACACAATTCCCTTGGGATTTCGGTGGGGGGGGGCGGGGGCGCTTCTAATGCAGTGGAACAGTCACAAAGCCATCTACTGCCCAAGTCACAGTCCTATCTCTGTCTCTTACTGACTTCTCTTTCCTGGCATTGCCCCAACCAGGGTCACATGTCCATCACTGACTCAATGATTGCAGTAATGTCCAGGCCATACATCCAAGCCTGGAGATGGGGTCAAGGTCATCCCCACCCAAATTGCAGGATTGACAGGGAGGGAGAGATGATTCCCCAAAGGAAAGACAGGTTGATATTCCTGGAAGGAAGAGGAAAGCCTGCTGGCAAGAAAAACAAAAAATTATATGGCATATATTTGGAATAGTATGCAGCTGTTTAAAAAGAATAAGGTAAACCAGCATATGCTGATTGGGAACAATCGCCCAAGACAAATTAGGTTAGGAGAAAGCAGTATGCAGAAGAGCGTGTATAGTGTGTACTTATTTGTGTCGACCAAGATGTGGGTGAGTGTGTGTGCTTGTGTGAACATTTTTGCAAGAATACACAAGAAACAGGAATGGGGGTTTATCTCTGTAGGGTGGCATTGAGGGGTGGAGGGTGGAAGGAAGACTCTACTTGTTTTCTGTCCTTCTAAATGTTTAACTGAGTACCTGCACATTTCCGTTAAACATCCACCAACCAGGTCGCACCTTTAAGTTGCATTCAGAGCATCTATGTTAGAATTTTTGCATCCGAGGAAGATCGCTGCGTGCGTGTAATCTGTGACCTGGCTGGGATTTTGGTTGAGAGGCAATTGGCCTGGGCTAGCCAGGCCTGGGGGCCACAGACCAGGAGCTGGGCACAGCAGAGCTAACGGCCATGTGCCTTGGTCAGGAGCAGAGGCTGGAAAGACCTTCAGAGGGAGAGGGAAGCAGAGGGCTCGTCTTTGAGAGCTCAAGTCAGAGGACTTTATTTTTGGAAACAGAGGGGGCCTGAATTTAGGATCCAAGGGGTCTTCGGAGGGATCTCAGGGCAGCTGCAAGCCCACTGGGGCCCTTTTTTGGCACCCTGGCCCCAAGGATGCCCCAGAAGTGCTTGATTTTGCTTTGACCATTAACACCGCTTACCAGTATAGGGTGACGACTGTTTATATCTAGGTAACATGTAGCAGAAACATTCTGCTAATCACCTAGACATGTCAGATCAACTCCATGGTATCGTTTCTGAGTCCAGGGACAGTGTCTGCTCCTGTGTTCAAACTTCATCAGGTGCCACTCGGACGGTCAGGCCACCTGCTCACAGCTTTACAAAAAGGGGAACCTAAGAAACAACCCTGACTCGCCATCCAGGAACTGCCACCCATATTCACAGACACCCCTTTCCCCCCATGATACATGAAAATCAAGTTGACAGGAATCAAAAATTCCTCCTTAAACAAGTTCACTCAACACTTATTAAGCATTGGGGCACCTGGGTGGCTCAGTCGGTTAAGCGTCTGCCTTCAGCTCAGGTCATGATCCCAGGGTCCTGGGATTGAGCCCACGTCAGGCTCCCTGCTCAGCGGGGTTTAAAAAAAAAAAAATCGTTGCTCATCAGCGACCTGCTGGGTGGTGTGTTGGGTGCTGGGAATACAGAGGTCGACAGTGTGTCCAGTCCTGGCCCTCTGAACTTCCTGATGAGGGCCCCACCAGCAGGTGGAAGCTGAGCCTCTTGGTCTCTCTTTCTCTTTAGAAGTTCCTGAGTGAGAGACCACCAGGCCTCATTCACCACAAGGCTGGATGCCCTGGGTACCAGCTCCGAGAGTGACAAGGCAACTATGTTTAGCATTTCCTGATGGAACCAGAATCTGCAGTCAAGAAAAGCTGGTCCTGGCCAAAAGATGGACTTTTGGATGAGAATGATGTCTTCAATAATAATCCTGCCAAAAACCACTGCCTCATGCATTAGCCTTCTCCCTAGAGGGTAATAGGAACCAGCAAGTGACAGAAAACTAAACTTGTACAGGCTGGGGAGAAAAACCAAATCTGATTTTGTGTTTTGTTCCTACAAGAACAGAAGTAAACACTTTATTACCAAACGAATACATAGGATGTTTTCATGCAAGCAATGTATACATTTTAAAAATAACTTTTCTTTAGACTTTGGTATACAGTATGTGCTCCTAAGCATTCCTTAATACATGTAAAATAAATACTTATTTTTTTTTTACAAAAGTAGAGTTAATACATTCTGCAACTTGCTTCTTCTGTCATTTCATATAGCTCTATTGCATTCCTTTTTAACACTAACATAGAATTCCATAGTATGGAGGTATCAAAATTATTATTACTTCATTATTTGCCTATTGGTGGACATTGAAATTGTTTCTAATTTTTAATAGTACAAACAACACTGCAATGAACATCCTAGCACATATGATTTTGTGCTCTTGTAGAAGTGTTTCTGTGCAAGAAATTTCTAGAAGTGGAATCAGTGGGTCAAAACTTCTCTGAGAAGGTTCAACTTGATTTTGAGGTGAAGAGTCTGTAGATGAGAGAGTTATAAAATAATAGACAAGATTAATAATTCAGAGTAACCTGTAAAGTTTGCCCAAGGGTATGGTTTGTGGTGTTGGGCTGGCCTGGTCAGAAATGTTCCAATCAGTTTCCTCATTAGGACAGGAAATCAGCAGAGCAGGATTCCTGAGTCGGTGTCTCCCTGATCCCACTGACATGAACGGGAGAAAAGATTTGATGTCAGCATCAGGATTAGTCATGAACTGAACACATCACTAGATCCCACATGAGGATGGATCCCACAGCAATAGAAACTAGGAAGCATCTGCCCTCAGGCTGGGAAGTGCTGTTCTGAAGAGAGAACAGCGTCCCCAAGAGGTGTTTGGATGTCAGCACCTGTGCCCACACAACCGGGACTGGTCCTCTGCCTGTTTAGGCAATGAGCTGGGGGTCAGTTTCTCACTTATTCTTAAACTCACCCAGAAATAGTTGCTGTCCAAACCTCTTCTTAAATAAAAGTAATACAATACAACACAATAAGACTCTGGGCAGGTCTTGGTGAGTCTGAGTAAGTCTTAGTGTTTTCCATCTTGTGCGGTTTTTCAGACAATGGTGTAGAACATCCACCTAACCTAGTGAGCGGGTGGCATGGACTAGCCCGCTCTCGCTGCAGTTTTACTGTTGTCCCAGCATCACTGAGTATTCAGCAATGTTCCAGAAGTGATAGGAAGTAGCACAACTGTTTGGGAAGAAGGTCCTGAGGTAAGAAATAAAACAGCAGACAAGGAAAAGGTAGTTAACTCATAGAATGAGAATAAGCACGGCAACAAGGCTGGACTGAGATTTTTTTTTTTTTTTTTTTTAAGGAGCAACACAGGAACCAAATAAACATTTCCCTATCCCAGGGTTTCTCAACGTCCACACTGTTGACTTTTTGGTCTAGAAGATTCTTTGTCGTGGGGGCGGTCCTGTGCACTGTCTATCCATTAGATGTCACAAGCAACACCAGACACTCAGTTGTGACCATCATTAATGTCTCTAGAACTCTTGTCATTTTTGAACATTTGGAGATTCAAGAAGCTCTTGGGAAGTATCTCTCTGGAACACCCAGCAACCCCCGGGGACTCTGCCCCCAACCGCAGGAACCAGTTCGGACTTTGGTGGTTGTTATTTGTTTTCCCTCATCCTGACCGGAAGCCTGAATTCAGCTACCACGGGGCCGACTGAGTGGCCGATGTGGAAGGGGAGCGGCCTCGGAGGACCAGGAGCCCCACAAACAAGAATCCCATAACTTGGTTTCTGGAGCAGCCGCGTGCGGTTGCAGGGAACTCTTCCAGAAAACTGCAAACTCTAGGGCAGTCCTGCCCAGAGCGAGATTGAGGGAGAAACCCCAGGTGAGGGGGCCAGTTTGGAGAATTACAGGCAATTTCACGCGCTGCCCAAGTATTTCTTGAGCACCTGCTCCTGGGCTGTAAGCTACAGTGTGCGCGGGGGCGGGGGGCGGGGATAGACAATACACCTATCAACGTGGGGAGCCACTCTGGTGTTTCGGGGGAGACTGTTCTTGCAGTTCACGCACAGCTCCCACCTCGGGGGTGGCCTTGAGCCCGGGGTCCGTGCCTCAGGGGCCCCTGCTCGGCCCGGCATGCTCTCTCTTCCTCTCAGGGCTCACGTCCTGCCCGAACTCAGTGCTTCACCTAAAACCCGGCTCCCACCGGGTGGCGCAGCGCAGGAGCAGGGGGCGGAGCGCACAGGGGGCGGGGGGCGGGGCTGCGTTCCAGAGCCACGCCTCCGAGCACCGCCCCTCCCCCCGCCCCCGACCACGCCGGCGTCCTCCCCTGCGGCCTCGCGCCGGCTCGGTCCCGCCGCGGACCCCGCCTCCGGGAAGGCGCCCGGCGTTCCCCTTTCCGCCTCTGACATCCTGGCGGGGAACGCCGAGGAGCGACGTCCCGCGTTACCCTTACACAGGGTCGCCATCTAGTGACAACAGGATATACAGCTGCGTGCAGACGTGAAGCCGGCCGCCGGTACAAGTTTGGAAGGTTCTGGTTAGTGCGGGAACGCTCTGGGGTGGGGACTGGACCCACTCCCAGGCCCTGGGGTAGGCGGGGGGAGGGGGGGAGGCTGATGGGTCGCCCTTACGCTCGCCTGCACCCCGCGGCCCTGGGGCCCCCTCCGCAGAGGAAGGCGAGCCTGGGCCACATCTGAGGAGGGCCTCGTGTGAACAGTAGCCTGGTCTTCGAAAGGAGAGGCCGGCGGCGCCGGTGAGGTTAGCTCCGAGAGCCCGCACTCGGCAGAAGACCTGTCTGCGAGGGGGTGTGGCTTAGCAAAGCCCACTCTGTGTCGGGAGCGGGGAACGGTGTGCCGGGAGACAGGGGCACCGGAGGGAGCTCCACCAGCTCCGGACAGGCCTGCCCTCCCGGAGCGTCAGCTCCAGAAGACAGGGCAGGGGAGGACAGAACTCCTAGGTTCCTGGAAAGGCCTCCGGGAGAGCCCGCTCTCAAACTTGCTGCAGCACAGACCCAAGGAACAAGCGCAGTCTGCGGCACACATCCAGGTGGGGACAAGACTCCCGTCGCCTATTTGCAGACACCCCCGAAACTTTACTAGGGATTTTCTTGCATCCCCCAGATTGGCTTCGTGGAGGGAGGTTGTTACGGGACAGAGTACCGGGTCCAACCTCAGGTCGGGCTGCTCGCTGCTGGAAAATCAGTCCTCGAGAGACAAGTGATGGTGGGAAAGGAAAGGTCGTTTTATTCAGTAAGCAGGCAACTGGGAAGCTGGTGGACTAATGTCTCAAAGACCATCTTCTCCCTCCAGGCAAAGCCAGAGGGTTTTAGAGGGGAAGGGAAAGGGGGGAGGGGAGAGAAGGGGGCTGCATGCTGGAGAAGCAGGTGTCCAGGCGCTTAGTCCTATGTTGTCAGCATGATCCTGAACAGACTTCCTGGCATCTGCGGCAGCTGATCTGATCTTCTGAGAAAGTCTGGTCCTTCACCCCCAAGGCCAGTGGTCTGCAAATCTCAAAGAAAGTCCTGCTACAGATCAAGGGACTAGGGGATAAGTGCCTTAATAGAAGCAGATGCAAACTGAGGACAGAGAGAGCGATCAGAGCTGCCATGTATGTTTGTGCAAGTTGCTCACTGCACAAGGGCACCTGGTGGCGGTGGAGGAGTGGGCACCGGGCCCTGGGATCTGGAACTCAGCCCTTACCTGATCCCAAAGCCATGCAACCTGGCAAGGGCTGTGTCGGCCAAGAGGAAGGGGAGCCCTCTTCAGATTCACCTGCTCTCCAAGAGCCTGCCCACAGGGGCCCCCTTTTCCTTCTCAGGCACAGAGGGGCAGGCTGTAGCCCTTGGGGAGTTAGGTGACTGTCTTTGGAGAAAAGGCTCCTGCATGGAGCCCCAGCCCAGGATTCTTTGGTTTCTGTGGGCCACAGTCACCTCGCTTCTCCCACAAGTAGAAGCTCCCTTGGAGGTCCACCGTGTGTTAGCCAGAGAGCCAAACCTCTTCTGGTGTTTGTGGTCTCCATCAGGGGCACTGCTGGGGAACAATGTCACTGCTCTTGCAGAAGCCTGGTATTTGATTATAAAGTTTTTCAGGCAGAAAACATGTATTTGCACTGTCCTGTTAACTCTGGCCTGATTCCCTAAGCCAAGCTGTGAACAGCCTGCCCCCGTTTCTCTTGTTCCCAGAATCCTTTAGGTGCAAAGACACACCTCTAGACTGAAAGGTCGGTAGAGTCCCAGTGGACAAAGATTAAGGAGGGCCCCAAAGGTGAGTTTATGTTTCTTCCATCTGTTCTATAAAATCTGAGCGGTTAAGCACTTTTTGATGTTGGAAATGGATGAGGTGTTTTCTGCTGGTCTACCAGAGGACCGGGGAAACATACGCATTTCCTCAGGCTGCTGCAAGAAAGTACTACAGCCTCGGTGGCCTGGACTACAGAAATGTACCGTCTCACATGTCTGCAGGCGAGAAGTCCAAGATCCACCAGTCATCAGGACTGGCCCCTTCTGAGGGCTCTCGGGGAGAACCTGCTCCTGGCCTTTCTCCCAGCTTCCAGTGCTTTGCTGGCGATCTCTGGTGGGTTTTGGCATGTAGACACATCCCACCCATCTGCCTTTCTGTTCACATGACATTCTCCCAGGATGCATGTCTGTGTCCAGATCTCCCCTTTCCGTCATTACCCAGTTATACTGGATGAGGGCCACCCCCCCATGGCCTCGCCTTGACGAATGACATCTCCAGAGAAGGTCACATTCTGAGGCGCTGGGGGTTGGGGTTTCAACATACGAATTTGGGAGGACACAATTCAACTGAGGCCCTTAAGAACCTGAAACAAGACGGCAGTAAATCCCTCGTCTTCTGCCCGCTGCCGTGGTGACATGAAAAGGGATGTGGGAGGGAGGGGACGTTCAGCTCATAAAATACGCGAGAAAGTTTTTCTTTCTGCATCAGGTTTGTATCAGGATTGTGTTCTTATCCCCCGGTAAACAATAAAATCTCCAAGACAGACAAGCCGGACAGTCTCTTCCTTATGTGTTCCCAGACCATAAGGGAGAGGGAGGTTTCAATAAGCAGAATAGGCCTGGAGCTGCCTCAGTAGCCAGAGATACACACGTCCGCAGAGGGCCTCGCAGGCCTGGACTGCCCGAGCTGTCGTGGACCTCGCAGCACGTTGCCCCTTTGGCTTTTCACATCATAAGTTTTCTTTTTTTTTTTTTTCTTTCTTTTTTCTTTTTTTTTTTTAAAGATTTTATTTATTTATTTGAGAGAGAGAGAATGAGAGATAGAGAGCACGAGAGGGAAGAGGGTCAGAGGGAGAAGCAGACTCCCTGCTCAGCAGGGAGCCCGATGCGGGACTCGATCCCGGGACTCCAGGATCATGACCTGAGCCGAAGGCAGTCGCTTAACCAACTGAGCCACCCAGGCGTCCCACATCATAAGTTTTCTTAATCATCATCGTGAAGGTCTCCTTAAGGTTAACCATAACTTAAATGCTTGTGTTAGTTGATGGGTTTTGCTTGCAGAAATGTCCTAGTTCTGGCTGCAAATTGGTGTTTAATTCCCCAGCACGGTGGCCAGAGGGGCTGTCAATGCTATCTGAGTCATGGCATTTGAGTTATTTAAATCTGTCACATATAAAGTCATCCACAATCCAGGTTTGGGGCTCGGGTGAGGCAGGTGGAGAAGAGCCTGCCACAGATGGCCTGGGAACGCTTCACGGGCAGAGATGTGGTGGAATCAAGAAGCCACTGGCTAGAGCTTCATCCTGTAGTCCCGAGGGCCTTACATAGCTGTTTGTGGGTGGCCTATAATCTCTGACCCCCTAAAACTGAAAACTGAAAAGGTGTGTATTTTACTACAGAGGGGAGAAGATTGCCAGCTTTGCTGCACTCTCAAAGAAACCTCTATCGAGAACGACTGACTTGACTCTCCTCCCCTCACACATCTTTATAGTAAAACAGTAAATTCAGTTTTCTTCTAACGGGTAGAAGTTCATCATGAAATTTAGAACTGTTAGCAAAGGGAGCCAGACCTTGAAACTTGACACTGGTCCATCTCCTGGTTTGGACCTTGAATTTCCTGTCAAGGGTATATATATATGGACTTATAATTTGGAACGTGCAGGCTAGGTTCTGGTGGCCATGAATTGGCATATGATATGGTCCCCTGTGGCCTGGGGCCTCTGATGGCTCCCCACTAGTAGAAGTGTCTAGTCCTTTATGGAGAAGCGGGGACCTTGATGGAGCCCATGGACTTGGTCCCAAGATTGTTAGGGATGTAAGGCCCTTCCCCCAGCAGTTTGCCTCTGTGGAGGGTTTTTGTTCATGTCAGAGTTGAGTGGCAGATGACTTCTACTTGGGCCCAAGGATTCACATGTTTATAATTAGGACAGGAACTCCTCCGGTACTCGCTCTATCTCTCCGTTCCATGCTCCCACTCGTCTGGCCCTCCTCCCACCATTCCACCCTCTTACACGTATATGGATATTAGATATGTTTATAATGGATAATATTCGTGGTACATAGTAGGGAGAGTTCTGTCTGCATCACAAAAAGGACAACCGGATATCACCTTTTACAGAAATAAAATAGGAAATTTGAGCGAACTGTTTCAACTATTTTCTTTCTTTTTTTTTTTTTTTTAAGATTTTGTTTATTTGAGAGAGAGAGACACAGCGAGAGAGGAATACAAACAGAGGGAGTGAGAGAGGGAGAAGCAGGCTTCCCGCGGGGCCGGGAGCCCGATGCGGGGCTCGATCCCAGGATGCTGGGATCACGACCCCAGGACGCTGGGATCACGACCTGAGCCGAAGGCAGACGCCCAACGACTGAGCCACCCAGGCGCCCCTCAACTATTTTCTTTAGTAGATTTACTTTCCAGCCAGAGATCAATAGCCTCCCCCTCAGATGTCACTTCTTCACTAACTCACAGATCTGGCTTTTACTTTGGGGACAGAAGCTTCTTTTTCTCGACCTGCTTGCATTTTCTCTTCAATGTCCTCTAGAAATCTTGAGTCATTTTGACACACACGTACAGTGCTCCGGGAAGATCTCCGCCTTACCGTGTGCTCTGACCATCTCTCTCTGGCCTTCCCTCTCCTTGTATTTGACGGGCTGGCAATCATGTAATGCTCATTACCATGCAGGACTGTACAGCGTCTGCCCAAATATTCTTGCTGTTTGGAAAGCGTTTGTACAATAGCACCAAGAATGTGGCCCGAGGACACCCCCCTCCCCAGCCAAGCCTTATGCGGCAGTTAGCATCAGTGTGTCTTATTGTCCGGTGCTCCTGGTCTCCGTCACATGCCATGCTCATTACCTGTCTTGTTAACCTGGGCCACAGAAGGTCCTTACAACTCCCACTTTTGGGGCAGTGAGGGGATTTCAGGCTCTTTCTGGGCCATCTTTGGTCAGATGGGAAGGGTCTACACCTTGAGGGCGGTCCCAACAGGTGCGGGAGAGGTTTTCACGAATGTCCATGGTCAAGCAATGTCCCGGCTGTGGACTTCCCCTGCTCATGCCAGTCTTGGGTCGTTGGGACCCCTGAGGCATGGCTGGCTCTGTGGGTGAGAGGTGGGGTCAGACTCCTGAGGCCCTAGAGAAAAGGGACATGTGGTTTGGATGAAAGCCTGAGGGAAGATCTGGCCGTGAGGTGTGCTGCCATTGGGACTGGCAGGGAGGAGTGGCCATGATGGGGGCGGGGGGGGGCGGGGGCAGGGTGCAGCATGTGGAGCTTCCCTGAATTCTGGGGCTATTCCCTTGTGAGGGGAGAGGGTGTCCCTGGGGAGTCACAGTGTTCATGCAGGACCCTCCTTTCTCTCACATGGACAAATGCTCAAGTGTTCGAGGCCCTTCCCCTATCTGAGACAGGTCTCAGGAAGCAGGCCCACCGATGTTGGAGTGAGCAGAGGGGGCTGAGGGCACAGTTAGAGGCAGGTGAGGCACCATCACAGACGCAGAACAGGATTGAGAACAGGGCCTAGGAGGGCAGGGAACTCCGTGCCTCGGCCAGGTGACCCCACGCCTCGGCCAGGTGACCCCACACCTTGGCCAGGTGACCCCACACCTCGAGCAGATGACCCCACGCCTCAGACTGGTGACCCCACGCCTCAGGCAGGTGACCCCACACCTCGGACTGGTGACCCCACGCCTCGGCCAGGTGTCCCCACGCCTCGGCCAGGTGACCCCACGCCTCGGACAGGTGACCCCACGCCTCGGACTGGTGACCCACACCTCAGACAGGTGTCCCCACGCCTCGGACAGGTGACCCCATGCCTCGGGCAGGTGACCCCATGCCTCGGACAGGTGACCCCACGCCTCAGACTGGTGACCCCACGCCTCGGACAGGTGACCCCATGCCTCAGGCAGGTGACCCCACGGCTCACGCAGGCAGAGGCAGCCAGGTCAGTTCATTTCTGATGGAGCTGATTTCAGGGCCCAAGACGGGGGAGACCGAGCCCCAGTTGGTGATGGGGCTGCTAAGGCCTTGTGTCTGATCTTTCATCCTGAGCAGCCCAGAGCTGCCCTTTGGCTCCAGCACGCTGTCTAGCCTGGCACCAGGCGGCCCAGCTTCCCTGGGAGGACCCATCTTTCAGATCCAGTCAGAACCAGAATCAGGTGGGTCTTTGGCCTCACTGAGCTCTGCACGGTCCAGCCTGGAGTGGGTAGGCGGGGTCTTGCAGAAAGACGCCCCACATCTTCTCTGTAGTGAGTCACCCACTGGAGCCCCGGGCACAGGGTCCAGCAGAGGGGCCCTTGACCAGGGTGTGCACCAGTGGCTCAGACTGGGACCGGCTTAACCCAGGGGTGGCACTCACCTAGACTCTAACATGAGTGAAGATTGAGCCCCCCCTGGAGCAGAGCACTTCATCACGCCTGCTCCTGACTGCGATCAGGAAACAAGGCCAGTGGGTAGGAGTAGTCTGATTCCCAGTTAGCCCTCTTATTATCCTACTGACTCATAACCAAAAAAGAGGGATTTTCTGCTTCTTCCTCTTCACGGGACAGTTAGACTTTTTTGTCCTGAAAATGATAGCATTCCTGGCCCCCAGGGAGAGTTGAGTGTTTTATTTTTAAAAGCCTAGGCTTATAAAATAATCATCACACAGGAGATTTGGGATAGAGGAGGACTCTGGATTGAGTCCAAAGAACAGTCCAAGGTTGGAGGATACCGGGTGGGGACCCGTGTGCCCACAGTGCCAGAGGGCTGCTCCCAGCGGGGCAGGGAGGGCGCAGGGCCTCCCACTGGGGATGAGGGGATGATCGGAGGTGTGTGGAGGCTGCACAGTATTGGACGGTATTGCTCTGCAAGGACGCCCAGAAGGAGGAGTCTGTGACACTCATGCACAAAGGCTGTATTAGGGTTCTTCAGAGAAATCTGAATCAATAGGAGATATCTTAGACTTTCTCAGCCTCTCTAATTGGGTGAGCCAATTCCTTATACATATTAAAAAGAATGATATATATTACATAATCTTATAAGGAAGTAGCTTGCCCGATGATAGAGGCTAAAAATTCCCAAGGTCTGAAGTCAGCAGGCTGGAGACCCACTAGCCAAATTTGGGGCCCCCCTCACCAAGGTGCTCCTGGGCGTTTACTGTTCTCAGACTCCAGTGATGGGGGTCTCCCCTCAGCCTGATGGAGTCTTTTACACACTGGTGATGTGAGGGGATGGTGGGTGCTTCTCTGAGGCTCATGTCCCCTGCCTCCCTTGTCCGTTCTCCCCCTGGTCTCCTGGAGCTTACACCTGCCCTTGTGCAGATTGTTTCAAATGCTGAGCCCCAGATGCACAGAGATCAGCTAAGGTGGGGACCGTTATCCACAGGAGAGCCAGGTCTGCCCCAGATGTTACTAAGTTGGGGCTGTCTATTCTCACACATACACACACACACACACACATACACACCCACTCACACACTCCC